GCCAGTTCTCATCTTCCAGCTCCCCAGATACTCCGCGTACTCAAGTTGTACTACAAAGTCGCCAGTTCTCATCTTCCAGCTCCCCAGATACCCCGCGTACTAAAGTTGTACTACAAAGTCGCCAGTTCTCAGCTTAAAGCTCCCCACATACTCCGCGCACTAAAGTTGTACTACAAAGTCGCCAGTTCTCAGCTTCCAGCTCCACAGATTGCTCCGCGTACTAAAGTTGTGCTAGAAAGTCGCCAGTTCTCATCTTCCAGCTCCCCAGATACAACGCGGACTCAAGTTGTACTACAAAGTCGCCAGTTCTCAGCTTCCAGCTCCACAGATTGCTCCGCGTACTAAAGTTGTACTACAAAGTCGACCGTTCTCATCTTCCAGCTCCCCAGATACTCCGCGTACTAGAGTTGTACTGCAAAGTCGCCAGTTCTCAGCTTCCCTCACAACTAGCCACTTGGTAGTACGAATGAAGCGCGGAAGCAGTTTCTGGGAGCCTCAGAACCGGCCACTTTGCAGTACAAATGTAGTGCAGGAAACAGTTTCTAGGACTCATACAAAAAGAAAGGAAAACGACGACTACATGCTGTTTGTTTGGTTGCTTAAGCGGCTCAGATGGATTAAGCTTGAAACACGGCAATGGGCCAAGCCCTTCCAAACCAAGTCGCGGCCTACACAAGCATCTACGCAAGGCCTACGCGGGTTTCCCTGCCTCCTGTCTACAGGTGTACAGGTACTCAGAAACATCCATGGTCCATTGTCCTTTCCATCATGTGTTAAAGGTTTTGTTGGACTCATTCCAAGTTGCAACTCACAACTACGCAAGCCTGCCTACGCGAGACACTGCTATGTTTTCCTACGCGGTTGCCTACGCAAACTTCCGCCCCCAATCAGAACAGCCTACGCAGCATCAAGAGCAGTTCCACTTTTGTATAAACTCCTTCATAGACGAGAAAAACCGCTACTCAAATAGGAGAGACATTCCTTTCGTGTCCTGCTGCGCCTTTGTCACTCCCTAGAACCTTCCCGCAGCTGAGCCTTTGCGGCTTAGTCTCTGCTATTCCCAAGCTGCATCGGCGCAAGCAAAAAGGTGTAGTTGAGTTTTAGGCGCTGAGCTCTGAATTTTTGAATCCTTCTCGCTTTTTCACTGCTCTCATATTGCCTTGTGGGTGGCCTCAATCATTGCCACAAAAGTTTCAGATACCAAGAAATTATATAGTATCCACAGAAAACTAATAGCAGCTAGCAAAAGCCAAGACAAACTTCCCAACTCCCCCGAGACACCTACGGGAAGCTGTGGTTGTCTAGAGTCGAGAACACTGAAGCGGGGTCTGCCTTGTCAGCAACATAGGAGTTTCATCCGCCACTCCCAGCTCTTGACATGCTTCCTTGAAAAATGATTGCTTTTCAGCCCACCCAAATGACTTTGTGTACGGGTACAAATTACATCACACGCCCTTCTTCTCCTCCTTCTCCTTCTCCTTTCCTGTCACACTGTCACACCCCATTTTGTCTTCTGGTTGCGATGCGCGATGCCTTGGTGTCTTCTACTTCCTTGCCGCAATCCAAAACTTTGGGCTTGTTGGTTTTGCTTGTAAAGTTATCACGCCCCGTCTACAAAAGAACTAGCGATGCAAGTGTCTACGAGAGTCAGCCATGCAAGTGTCAGTGTTATATTACAAAACACAGCCACTACCCAAAGAACACAATGGCCTCAATCCTCCTTGTGTCTCACTGCAATTTGTGGAGATTAATTTGTAGAAATCCGCAGCCTTGGTGGTCAGAAGACCGTGCTAAAATATTTTCCACCAGCTTGAAGCCATGAGCGTTACAGCCGCAACTGTACAAGGCCGTTACGTTCACAACTTTGGGTTCTTGCGTGAAGAGTGCACTGCGCACAGTCACAATCAAGACCTCTGCGGTGCAAACCACAACTCAGGGCAAGTGGTTTGTTCAAGTTTTGCGAAGGTCATCGCAAAGGCAGAGCGCTCAGCGCACGAATGAATTTGAGGGCACGAAGGGCGGAATTCAAAACAGTCACGTAGGACATGGAGACCAAGCAAACGAAGAATCCGTCTCGGTCTAGGACGGTGCCTCTCGTCACTACTCCTGAAATCACATGACAGTAGCACAGGTGCTTCCTAGCTTTAAACAGTGTAAAATGAAATACTTGAACGATACACGCTGAAAGTATATTTGCCTTAAATAAACATGTGGGAAGTGTCAACCAGCTGCAAAGGTCCTTGAGTGGCTCCTTCAACGACAAAGACCTAAGGCGATGGAAACTCCTATGATTCAGAAACATCCAGCAAAGCGCGCAAACCTCTTCAAAAACAACTCATAAAGATTCATGCTGAAAGTGAATCGAACGGATAAGCTTGGGTAAATTCGTATTTTTATTTCGCGTTTACCTGCTCAACAAACAGACGTTTTCAGGGAAAATTTGCAGACATTCCGAAATTCCGAAAACGGATAAACCGATTGATGTCAAAAAACAAAATCCGCCCGCGCGAGGGTGCTGAGGCGTTGTGTCGGCTTCGCGTCAACCGCGAGATAGCTGCTGGATGAATCCGCTTAAGAAGCTTTAGCTAGGGGGGGGCCTTCCATGTTTGGGAAATGGTGTGTTTTTGAATGTTTTTGAATATGGATAAAAAGTGATATCGTGTGTATGATTGTGCGTGTGGCTTCGGAGGTAAACGTTCGCGATGCCGGTTATGCAGCCCGGGAGAAAACTGTTTTATCGACATCGTGTACGTGTGCTCATCCAGGCTGTCTGCCTGACAGAAGCAAGAACAACATGGAAATGCTGAGTTCTTATTCTTATGGGGTCCTGTGGCCCTTGTGGCTTTTGATCTTGATTGACGTCCGTTTCTTGTGATTCCAGTTCAGTTGAAGCCTGTTTGCTTCCTGTTGAACTCCTTGGATTCTTTGTGTTGAGTTCGTGTTGGCTTGCGTCGATGACCTCTTCTTGTCCTCCTGCTGCCCTCTTGTTGTCCTCCCGTTGTCCTCTTCTTGTCCTCCTGGTGTCCCCTTGTTGTCCTTCTGCTGGTGTCCAAGTGACAGCATGAAGCGCAAACAAGCGGTCCAGTGCGAGAAAACAATTTGCACGCGTGCAAGCCTTGACGGCAACACCGCAGCATGGCCACATGGCAGCCTGTCAGCGTGTAATAGTAAAATGACAACATGCGAGCTTGCACTACAAAGCGGTGAGGCACTGGCAAGACAACTCCAGAAAGCAGCCCCAGAAGCTGATGTCCTCTCCTTGTCCTCCTGTTGTCCTCTTCTTGCGGAGTTCTGTCGTAGGAAAAAAGAAGCCGGCCAGAATGTCAGGCCGCGCTGGCTCCTCTTGTCACAAGGGTTTTCGGTCCTCTCCTCCTCATGTTCTTCTTTTGCCTTTTTGTTGTCCTTCTTCGGGTCTTGGTTGGCCGCGGCTGCCAGCCTATCTCCGGTCGCGCTCCTCCCATCATCGTCTTGTCTTTCTCGTGTCCTCAGTGTCCTCTCTTCCTCTTCTCCTCTTGATCTCCTCTTGGCGTGCTCCCCTCATGTTGTCCTGTTGTCCTTTTGGCGTTGTCCCGCCACAGCTTGTCCTTCTTTTGTCATCTTGGTGTGTTCTTGTTGCTTTCCTTCCCTCATCCTTTTGTCCTCTGCTGTCCTCCTCATGTCCTCCTCTGGTCTTTCTGCTGTCCTGCTGTTTACGTTGCTTTCCGAGGCAGGGGCTGGGGCTGCGGCCGCCGCAACAACAATTCTCGCCGACTAAGCTGTTTGGAGTCTATCCGGGTATAATCTTTTATTCTTTCCGCTTTTGCCTTCACTTCTTATGAACACAAAGTCCCACATATGGCATGTGTGGGGTCATCCGGTCCATAAATTTGTTGCATTCTGATGCATTCTGTCAGACTTGGTTCTTTAGTTCGCATGGTGTCTCTAGACTCTACACAAATCCATTTGAGTTCAGTAGTCGGAAAACAATGAAAAGCACACACAAAACATCTGGCGTTTATACACCTGCAAACAATGACTCTTGTCTTGACAGGCTTGAGACAGTGATCTGGTAGATTGCAACAATCATGGTTTCAACGTAACATAGTTCTGGCCCTGGCAAGCATAAACAAAGCTGAACTGATTTTTTGGCATGTCAAGGAATTTGCACACAAATGTCAATGGCCTTCCCCTCACCCCCCAAGCCAAAATATGCCAGAAACATGTTCCATGAACTTATGTATTTCCACACTTGAATTCAGTAATTTCTCAAGGCATGGAAGCACCAGTACTCTGCGACAACCATGATCTGTTCGAAACAACGTTCCTTGCAAACATGCAGCAACACGCCCAGCAAGTGGCTTGGGCCATGGCTGTCTGAATTGGTCGTACGGTCGCAGAATCTTGGACCTAGCAGCTTTGCGCCGCTTTGTCCTCCCACCATAAAGCCTGCAAACACGGCACTCAACAAAACGCGGAATGCCAAAACACCACCAAAACACCAAACAAATCTAAAATCCAACACGTTAACAAATCAATGTAGCGCGCGGGCACACTCGTGACATCGGCCTCTTAAGCAGTCAGTATAGGTGCGACAAATGTGAAGAAAATTTGACTGGAACTGAAACGCAGCAAAACCCAACAACTCAACCCTAATATGGAAACGACCTGCTGCGCAGTGTCGTGTCATATAGGTTCCACGGCAGCAGCCCAGCTACGCATGCTGGGCGCAAACAGTCTGCATTTAGAGTGCGCAAAGTAGTATGGTAAAGTGGTCCCAAGATCGGTGAAAATGTGATGATGAGTCTGTGCTTGGTAGAAAACTACAGAAAAAAGGTAACCGCTCCGAGGTGTTGGGTTCAAGTATGCATGAGTTGAATTGAGTGTGCAAAGTTGGGTTCTCTCTCTCTCTCCCTTTTTGAAGAAAACACCGTCATCTTTGCAGACGGACACTTAGGCTGGAAAGCCGCTAAAAGTACATTTCTGCCACAACATTTGGGGCGCTAGCGTGTTGAATGAGAGTGTCTCTGAGTACACACCTACAAACAGGAACACTTGCGAGACTCTTTACCTGCATTTTTGTAGAAAATTTTGAAGGAAGAAAAAACATACAAAAATTGAATCTCCGTGACTCCGTGTCACAGCTCCGGTCTCCAGGAGTGATTTTGAATGAGTTCTTGCTTGACTATCCTACACCGGTCCACAACATTGGAACGTGATCCTGTTCCTCACCCTGGACATCCACGGACCATATGAGTAGTGAGGGGCGGGGCTCCTGTGGCAGCAAAGCGCTCATCAATCAACGTGACGTGATGAGTCGTGATGATATCACGAACTCAGTCAAAGTGAGGGTTCACGAGTATCGCAGAAACTCCGAACTGTCCAAAACCCTCACGTCTGATCAGCCGTCAACCTAGTTCTGCCACAAATGTCGTTCCATAAAAAACTAACAGGAGTTCTCAAGAGAGCTCTATTGATATGAAAAACCATTGAAAGATCGTGCCAACATATCGTCCCATAACCTCTCTTTTGGAGAATTGCCTCTACCACCTCAGCACGAAATCCCAAGCTTGATGCCACCAGAAGCGTACCACTTGCCACAAAATGTAAAATTCGAGGATCCACAAGCGTTGCGCCCGAGATAAAACAAGGTGCCTCCCAAAACTAGAACGCAAATCTACCAAAACGAATCTCTAGTGCAAGACTTTCTCAAGTTGAGATTGGAAATGAACATCAAAGCACGTCATCATATCGACATGGAGATCCGAATCACGATGAAGCTCAAAAATTGAACTGAACACCACAAGAGCGTGCCTCTGTAGAAGCTACAGCAAAATGAATGCAGCTGCAAGGTGACATGTAACCGCTCTTTCACTCAAAGCGAACAACCCTTGTGCCTAAATGGGGAAATAACGGTTCACGAGGCTGCATGTGCATGCCACCAAAAAACATGCGAAAGGCCAAGTATTTCACTTTCACACTGCTTCTACTGTCTCGTCTCTAAAGATGCCCTTCGCACGCCCTCTCTTAGAGGAAGATTCTAAAAAACCCCGCTTCACTGTGCACCACCAGTCGGCGGCCTTCAACCTCTTCGTGAGCAAGTCAGCCACTTGATCTCCTGTCGGCAGCCAATGCAAAGGAGGGCGCAGAGGCTTCTCAGGCGTGGGAGAGCCGTTGAGCAGGGCTTGTCGGATTCCGGCCAAGTCAATGGCCAATCTCTTCCCGTTCGGCTCAAGGAACTTGTTGCCGATGCACATGGTCATAGAGGCTCCGGCAGTCGGTGATGAGGTGCAAAGGAAGGTGTGCCTCCTCAGCCGACACCCTCCGCCCGAGCTTGAAAGAAAGGAGCAGGCTCCTCAAGAACACTGCAGTCTCCAGAGCCTCCGAACATGCCATGGTTTCCTGGCAAAGGTCGATCTGCGCACCCCTTGTTGAAGCTTTGCTCTTCCAATCCATGATGCCCAAATGGCCATCCTTCGAGACATTTCTCGTCTCCAATCGTCACCAGATAGGGCGTGACTTCCCAACCACGCTTCATCAATGGGATCCTGCGTCTCTCCGTCCACGTTGGCCCACGCCGCATCATGGTAGCCCAACATCAGGAAGTCGTCTTCCGGGATGCAGCGCAGAGACAGACCTTCTTCTTGGCGGTTCAGTGCATCGGTCACGATGCGGTTTGTCTCCTTGAGGTCTTTTACCAACGGACTCTTCTGTCGGCGTTGGGCTTGGCACACCTGGAACTGAAGGTCAGGTCGAGTCTGTTTATTTGCCAACTAAGACAAGCTTCCGATTGTTGTTCGGTTCTCTTCAACTTGTTCAGGGCTGGCCGGATCATGATCAGCAGCTCCTGGGGTCAGGCTCACCTTTTCCACACGGCCCTTGGTGTAGCTCGCCTGCTTCATTTTCCGGTTTGCACTCATATTCGCAGCCCAAGTACTCGACGGAGTCTGATTCCCATTCATTGACAGGGAAAGTCACGGGCAGCTTCGCCTGAATTGTCCCAAGTCATCCACATGCGTGATGATCAATCCGTGCATGGGCGACGCCAAAGTCATTCACAATCATGAAGACGCAGGGGTCGATGGGGTTTTGCGCCGCACGAAGCTTCTCCTGCTCATATTCAATCTCCATGAGTTTGCTGGACAGCTTCATCCACCAAAGCTTTGGTGAAGTGGAAAGACCAAAGACTCCCCTCGATCAGTTGGCCCTTCTCCAATGTAGGCATCCCTTACCGAGGTTGGCGAAAAACGAACGCACGTGGTGCTGGTAGCCCATTCAAGAAGGCTGCGCGAATGTCTCCGACGGACACAGTCCATCGTCTGGCCAAGCTCAGTTGTGGCGACAGCAACAGAGCACGCCTTGACGTAGTGGGAGCGTCCGTCGCCACGTCGATCTGTCCAAGATCAGGGTCATGATGCCCCGCCACGCAAAGACGAGCTTTAGCTTTGAGAGGGACTTTAGGATCAACGCGTCTTTTGGCCCGGTTCTTGTCACGATATCAGTGCGCTCCGCCTCCTGGCTTTGAGACGCGGTCAGCGGATGGCCTGAGCTCAGGCGCTTCATAGTCAGGACGTTCACGAGGTGGGATCATGTTCCATGGCAGCTCCTTGTCGAGCTGTTTCTCACGCCCCTTTTCTGTGAGCACCCGCTTGACACAGAAGGGTCGTTGGGCCCGGAACTTCTTGATGGGCACTGGCGCGTCATCCAAGACTGCGCGTTCTTCGACTCCTTCCATATAGGGCGGCCTGCTTCATCTGGAGCCTCCATTTCAACTCTGCCATCTCCTCCACGTTCCGGTTGTAGGTGTTCAGGAGCTCCACTGTCAATTTCATCAGAACTGTCCAGCTCATAGAACGAGCCGTCGTCCTCGGCCTGCGTGAGCTGCTTCAACTCTCTCATCGCCGCGCGGATGCGCAGACCTTCGCTCACCTCTTCGGGTCTTGCTTCTTGCAGGTGTTCAGGGGCCACCAGTAGACACCTTCCACCACGAGCCGCCCAATAGTTCTGGCCTCCACGTCCAATTTGCAAGGCCTCCGCTTTCCTTTTCCTTCGCGGAAGACATACACCAGCTCACCAGGGTCATATGGTCGGGTTGTCACCCTCGACTTGCGAGCTCTTTGGGTTGGGCACGGTAGTAGGCAGCTCTTGCCCCCATCCGGATGACACGCCGTCGTCCGCAGGCCTGATCATTTGTGATGTCAAAGAAAGCCGCCGCTTCTTCATCTTCATTGAAGAGGTCGCGTTCTCGGAGTTGTCCTCCGAAAGGTGGGCTTGGCCGCATCGTCGATCCAACAGGTCCAACGCCGAATCCAAGTCTGCCAAGACATGTTTGGGGCACCAGCCCTAGTGAAGGCACCACTCCTCGGCAGAGAAGATCCCAGGCAACGGAAGAGCCACCATAGTAGGCGCTAGACATGTCGACGCAATTCAGGGACGGAAGTGCCTTGCTCTCACAAGTGTCCAGCCAGATGATGTCAATGGCCACCGCCTGGTTGAAATCGAGGGCAACATGAGGTTGTGCTACGCGAGCGGGTCGCGGTTTGCTGCGCTTGTCACAAGTTCTGCGCTGCATTTGTTCAGCAGCTCGAACAATGCCCTCTGATGCGCCACTGAGCCGCAGGTGTCTGATCAATTCCCTGTTGGGCGGATGGCCCAAGTTCTGGCGGATCCTTCGCAAGGTAGCCGCAATCATCGGCGTGACTTTGCCCTTGAAGGTAATGCCCTCAGCCTGCAAAGGGTCATCTGTATCTCGTCTGGCTGTTGGGTAGGCAGACGAAAATGAAGTGTCCCTCCCTTGGATGGGCCGGTGATCATGTCGTGTCCAGTATTTTCACATTTCCGTGACATGGTTTCGGTTTCTTGAGCGGCCAGCCATCCACTGAGCTCACCAAACTGTATTGACACATATCCAAGTCGGCGTGCCTGGACGATGGAAAGCAAGTGAGTCGCTCAATGGTCGGGTGTCTCCACAGGTCACTGCTGCGGGGATTCTCGATAATGGCCACGCCCCCCGAGGAATGCTGGAACTCAAAGACCTTCGCAGTGAAGTCTACCAGGGCGTTCAGCCAACTCCTCAGCTTCTGTAAGGCGCAGCTTGTCCAGATAGAGCCAGCCTTTGATCAGAGGAGGTAGTTCACAGCAGACTTCACGAAGCCTCAACACCAAGCGCTCAAACTCTATGTTGAAGTCCCGAACACTCTGATCAGACCGGCGGCGGCATTTGCGGAAGAGCTCATTCATGATCTGCGAGACCTTAGTCAGTTCCACCTCCATGAACCGGGTCTGAATCCATTCGAGGAAATGGGGCGGGACGCCCCGGTCTCCGTTGCCAGGAGGTCCACATCAAGCACCAGCATAGACTTAGACCCAAGCCTTGCCCGTCAGGGCGGTGTAGAGTGCCAGAGCCCGTTGCATCTTAGTGCATCGAAGCCAGACTTGCACTCTTCTCACATACGATCGTGCAGATCGTCCCAACTCAGCATCGCTGATGCCTTCTCCATCGAACTCGGGGACCACGAGCTTCTCCGTGGGCTTGGACTCCGGCCTCCAGGCCCGCTCAGGCCAATCGGTCTGGAAGTCGTAGCTACCAGCCCACCTGCCTGATGGCAGTCATCTGATCTAACCGGGCCAGATGTCCAGTCAAAAGCGTCCCAGCGTTCGTCATTCCACTCCCATTCTTCCGGTGGCGGCCGAGGCGGCGAACTAGCCGAAGGTGTTGTCCACTGTTCACCCCCTTGAGCGTTCTCACTCGAAAGAACAGTGTCCAAGCTCGTGTTCCACCTGGCATCAAAACAGGTAGGCCTGGAACGTCCCAAAACAGTTCCGCGGCAACAATGTAGAAGCTACAGCAAAACGAATGCACCCGCAAGGTGACATGTAAGCGCTCTTTCACTCAAAGCGAACGACCCTTGTGCCTAAATGGCGAAGTAACGGTTCATGAGGCTGCATGTGCATGCCACAAAGACAACATGCGAAAGGCAAAGGAGTACTTTCACAGCCTCTAAAACACATACCCCATCACCAGGTTCTCACACGAGATTCGCCGCGCGATTCAGAGTATATGTGGGCCAGTCCATGGAAAGCACGAACATGGATCTGGAGACCCAGGCCCCAAAAACAACAAAGCAGGCACCAATGCACAAGTTTTGCTCCATACACTGTATGATACTAGTGTGGTTCTGTGTTACATTCATCATACAAAATACAGCAATAATTATCATAATCCACATCCCGAGTCTCCCACCCTTCTAATGCAGCTCGCACACCCTGCAGGGCAACTTGAGTTTGTGATGCGAAGGAGCAAAGCGCATGACTGTGCACGCAACCTGGAAGAAAGTGTGCCAGTGGCCGAAGAACTCATCAGCAGGCCGTGGCCTGAGCGATGCGACATGATCGTGGTGTGCCTAACCGTGGCCTAGGCAGCCACTTCATTCACGTCATCGAAGCAAAGTTCTTAATGCGCCCCCCCTGTCAGATCTTTTCAGATTCCAGCTAGGCCTTTGGCTTCTTTCCAAGTCCTTCGTGAAACCAGACCTAGACATCTGCACCACAACACTTGGTCTGGAATGTTTTGGCAACGCATGTTTCCCGAGCGCAATAGAATAGCTGAGGATAGAGCGCACATGTTCCTATAATCTTCCCCTGCTTCCACAAAAAGCTGCTGCAAGGTGTCCTGAAACTTTAAACAACGATCTGCTTGGAACTGTCCTCGTGCGGGTTGGTAGAATTTCTGCACGATGGTTTGGAGGCAACTCCGTCACTGAGTTTTGATCGATTCACTGTTGGAGCAAAACAAAACATGTTGTCGAATAATTGCACTGCTTAAGGCCCCCCACGAGTTCTCCAATTTTGGCCTTCCAATTGTGCAAGTTTCGGCCCATTTTTCGCACAAGCCAAAACTGGTGCGCTCCTCTGTGCTTTTTCCACGCGTTGCTAATTCCTGGTCGCCAGATGCCGCTGTCCTGACCAATTCGCGAGCAAACTCAAACGTACATTCTTCCTTTCTTTGGCCAAGCTTCCTCATGAAGCTTTGACGATTTTGTGAATATGATATCAATTGAGTTCTCCGACTCTGCTTCGCCGCAGAAGACATAACACAAACAATTGAGAATCTTCACCTGCGACTGCTGCCTTGCCACTGTTGGTTAGGAAAATCATTCAAGACGTGTGGAACTCTTGAACGAAGCCCAGAGCGGGCAAGGGCAAACCAAAAGGGACAAGCAATGCAAAGAGCCAATGGAAGCTGACCTTCAACTTCAGTCCGACACACGCACATGTTGAAACCATCTATAAAACCATATTCTTCAGCCGGCTTTCCATTGAAGCTCTGACGATTTCTGCACGAAGCACTCCCAAGCATCAATTTGCAACCCTTAGACAGTCAAAAGGATCAAGCTGACTCGTGACTGCGTGACACATCTCCTGGCCAGCTTGACAAAGGAATGGGAAAAGAATCGCGGCATCGTGCTCTTGTGCTCATGCAAGCAGTGAGGCCGAAAGCAAGCCCTCAGATTCGTAGGACTTGGCGTTGCCCAAGCTGAGGCTGCGGAATCAGCTGAACAATCCGTTTTTGCTGAACTGTTTTTGCTCTTCTTTTGAGCTGCGTCGGTGCCTTCCATTTGTTCAGCTTGTGTCTGGCAGGGGAACTGCGACAGAAAACCATGCATCTTCTCCAATCCCTCCAGGCAGCGGAGAAATGGTATCAGACTGTAGTAAACTCAACCACTGTGGGAGATCGACACAAAACCTCCCAGATTTGATTTGAAAGGCTCCTTGACATGACTTGAGGCCCCAGGAAGTTCATCTTCAACTCCACCCCCATCGGGGACACTTTTCTGCGTCAGTCTATGAAAGTCATCTTCGGAGTTTTGGGGAGCGATGTCAATATCATTTTGGGAGCGATATCAATGCCTTTGAAATATTCTGCATGGATTGATTTGCAACGGTGATGATTTCCAATTCTTGGTTTGACCCCCCTGCTCAAATTCATTGCAAGTGCAAATCCTCGACCTAATGCTGGGCCATACTGGGCCACTCCGCCCTGTGCATCCCTGCACGAATTCCCCCATCAAACAAAAAACGGACAGCGCCTCGCCAGCTCTTGCGCCTGTGCAATGTTTTTTTCTTTCAAGGACAATGGAGTTTGCGATGAAGTCATCAACAATGACGGGCATGAATAGTACTGCAGGTTACAACATGGGAGATCCTTCCAAATTCTGTGTCAACCTGCGAAAAACCCCACATTCCAGCCAAGAGCTTACAAAGTATCCCAACGCAAAAGACTGGGACAGGGCTATTGTAGTGAACAAGGTACATCCCACTGTACAACAAGTGTACGCACGGTACTTATCAAGCTAGTGTGAGAAAGTTGTGAATGAGGGCACAAAAACAGGATCCTGCAAGGATCAGCGAAACACGTCCCCCAACATATCCAAAATAGGAATTGTAGGATTCATATCACAAAATCTATAGCATAATTTTTATCATCATCACATTTCGAAACAACATCACAAAATACTCACGCATAATCTCACCGCATTAATTTGTAGGAAGTCTATTCCTAGAAATGTTTCATTCCTAAAATCAATCTGGTAAAACATTGTTTACTTTCTTTCATAATTCACCAATATTTTCCCAAACTGTTTTAGTTTTAATGATAATTGTTCGTCATCAAGACTTTTGCATCATATTGTTCCATACAGTTTGTTTGGTTGGATATTAAATCATAAACCTGAACAATATCATCAGAATAATTCTCAAACCTATTCCAAACGTAGTCTTTAATGTATTCTAATATCTGTTCAATCACATAAATCCGCAATAAGTTCATTATTAAACTAAAGTCTCCATCTTCCTCCCTTTTGTAATTGCTTAGTGCGTTGACGGAGCAGTTTTTTGTTTGCAATATTTGATGTGATGCAAACAGGAATGACAAACTAATCATATATCGTTAAAAGAATCATAACCTTGTTCATTTTTGGGTCATTGTCTTCATAGTAATCTCGAAATTTATATATGGCTCCAACTTTTAGTGCTTTTCAACTCGAAGAGGGAGGTCAAGCCACCGCTATGTGGCTGAACTGGCGTCCTGAGTCCTCGAGCCAAAACCTTGAGCCAAAATGGCTTGAGCCACACTGTATTTATACATATATGTTTATAATAGTATATATATATATTATATATGAGGCTCAGTCTCCCTTTTTTGCTGCTGTCAAGCCTGAGGCTGTCAGCTGACTCTCATGAGTCGGGCC